AAACACTATATGAAACAAAACCAAATAAATCAAACTCAAACAAATCTTAATGTTATACAGAAAATAGTTAAAACTATACACAAGTTAATTTTTGTGAAATGCATAAACGTTAAAGTATTGGGAATATTACAAAACGGGCAAATTTCACTTAGTAAATTCGAATTTTTAATCAATGAAGTAGTTTTTCAGATAATAAAAAGCGACAACTTTTTTATGGCAACACTTGGGAAAATTCATGTATTAAATGAATATCTTTACAAATGATTTTCCGGATAATTTAAATAACTAGAAGCTGATGGGTTAAAAAGTTGACAATATAAATTTAGGGCGAAAAGTCTTATTATTAGAGCAGGATTTGCACTTACCTAAAAATATCTGCACGGTTTCACTAGAAAGTCTCCAATCTGTTACCTAGTAATTACTCCATACTTGCTTCAACTGGTTGTAAAAAGCTTAATTAAGTACACTTTTATACTCTAACTCTTAAAAAACCGTCGTTCTTGCTGTAAACATAAACGCTATTGTACTCTGTAATGCATAGGTATATTTACAACATGCAGTTACTTACCTATGTGCAAAATGCAAATGGCGGCAAATAATGCTGAACTAAACAACGAAACGTTAGGTATGAACTGCTGAACAGAAAAGGAAAAGACGCGAGCTTCAGACAAACGAAACATCTAGAATACGTTGCCTCGGCCAACTTCGCAAAACGCGCCGACGCACTTCACCGTGCCCTCCCACACCTGCATTCAATCTACGCAGTGTCCCACGTAAATGGTTTTACTGGGTGCGCCTGATAAATTTGGAGTGAATCAAATTTGATATTTTACAGAATAATAATAACAACTTTTCATGAATTTTATAAAGTAAATATACACATTTATTTTGAATGGAAGGTGGCAATTCTTTGCAAGATGCAACCGAAATTTTATTAAAACTTCATTTAATTATTTGTTTGTATTAATTTGCTAGATGGTACATACTTGTAAAAGATTCCAGTGTTATATTTTCAAGTCAAATACCTAAAGCCGAAAATACCGATTTTGGTCTATTATTATGTTTTTGTATTTTTATATAGAGAGATTATTGCTAATAGGTAAAGAAAATATTATCAATGTAAATTAATGTACCTGTCTGATATTTCTATATCAATAATTTATTTGTATCTCCTGGAGAAAATTAGTTATTATTGTTAAAGGAATCATATTATTAGAGAAATTAAAATATCTTTTTAGACTGAAGCTAGTTTCTTTTCATCAAGAAACAAGTGGATGTAAAATAGTGAGCCACGTATTCATTTTAATTCCCCAGATCTATTTCAATTACGCTCTGTTAAATACTCAAATTGAGAATATATTCTTCCCAATGAACTAATATTCCAAGAAAATCAAGAACTACATTTAAGAAACATCGTTTTTTCAATTTAATGATAGTTTCTTTCCATCAAGAAACAAGTGTATCTAAAATAGTGAGCCACGTATTCATTTTAATTCCCCAGATCTATTTCAATTAAGCTCTGTTAAATACTCAAACTGAGAATATATTATTCCCAATGAACTAATATTCCAAGAAAATCAAGAACTAAATTGAAGAAACATCATTTTCTTAATTTAATGATATTTTCTCCGTTTGATACTATTGTTTATTTAAAAACTTGAGAAAATCTGCATTCTCTCTTTGAATATTTACTTTTTTGTGTGTAAGGCGTAATTTAATTGAATAAAAAATGTTACTCTCATCATGGTTTCCTCTATAGACTAGGTGGAGCAAGATTATTTTGGTAACTCAAGTTTTGGAAAATTTAACTCCTGACGTTGTGTTTATTTTTTTAACTTTTATCAATGATATCGTGATCTCATGATATTATATTATATAAAAATATTTGTATCATTTCTACTTTTTAATTTGAAATGTGGCAAAATACCTACTACCGTTGTCATGTTGCATGTTACAAAATTGGCAATTAAAATACATACAAAACGTTCACGTGACCACCGAGCTTAGGCAACCAACATTGCACTGTTGGTACTGTCAACAAGAAAATACGTAAATCTTAGCGTTGTCAGTGGTAATGATTTGTTTACAATGAACAATGACAAATCGTAGCGTCTACGCTTGAGATAATACGATCGCCGATTAATTGAATAAAATATGAAAAATTGTACCAATCACCAACCGGTGAAACAGAATGTTGTGTTTTAGCGTAATATTGATCTTATTGTTTTAATAATTTTTAATTTTACCGAAATTTAATTGCCAACGCGAAGGAAATAAAATTACGTGGCTTGTAATCATTTTATATAACGAGCGTTCAAATAAAAACTAGGTCGAAGTTGGCTCTGACACATTGGACGTAGGGAGTAGCTTATAGCGACCAACTTAACCTCATTTCTCAACGAGCAGTATAGAAGCTGTCAGTTTCAATAACGTTAATGACTATATAACTTTATTTTAAAGAATAATCGTGATAACAATAACAAACAATTAAAGGAGCTGCGGAAAGTGTCCCCCTCCTTGTTATAACAATAAATTAAAGCAGCTGCTGAAAGTGTCCCCCTCCTTGTTCCAAGCACTTTTCACACCTGTTCCTCAAAGAATTAAAGACATTTTCTAAGATGCTCGGGGTATTGTTAATTTCACGAATCTTGTCTATAAGTCGAGCCTGCAGATGGTTTAAATCAGGAATAGGCAGTTCAAAAATAGTGTTTTTAAGGTAAGGCCACAAAAAGAAATCACACGGCGTAATATCACATGACCTCGGTGGAAATTCATGTTCAGCATTGAGACTTATTAGTCGATTTTGGAAAACTTCCCTCAACATATTCATCGTCTCGCCTGCCGTATGTGCCCTTGCGCCATCTTGTTGAAAGTAAAAGTTTGTAATTTCGTTTTCTTCCAGCTGGTTAACAAAAGGAGCGATAATTTCTTCTCTATACCTTTGCGCAGTAAGAGTACCATTAAAAAAAATAGGTCCATAAATCCTCCTTCGATTGAGAGCACACCAAACTCCAATTTTTTGAGCGTGTAGAGGGCCCTCGACAAAAAAGTTATCTGGTTTTTCAGAAGACCACATTCTCATATTCTGTGAGTTTACGTAACCACTTAAATGAAACCAGGCTTCATCAGAAAAAAAGGTGATATTATGAAGTTCACCGTAGTTGTTTAAAAACCATTCACAAAATACAGCCCGTCGCGGAAAATCAACTTCATGAAGTTCTTGCTGACAAGTTAAACGATAGGAGAACAAACGCAAATCTTTTTTTAACACTGTGTGGCAGGTACCGACTGATACTCCCACCATTTGTGATAAAACACGTACAGAAGTTCTTGGCGCATTTTCCATTATTTGTTGGACATTTTCTTTTAATTCTTCAGTCCGCTTTTTAGGTCGGCCGCTTCCTTCTTTTCTTGTTACACTGCCCGTTTCACGAAAAACATTAACACAACGCTGAACTGCACTTTGAAAAATTTTGTACTCAACAACGCCGGGAAATTGATTTTGAAATTCTATGAAACATTCCTCAATAGAATACTTCCATATTCCATCAATCTTGCGTCCATTTCTAAAGTAGGACTCTATGATAAACACTTTTTGTTCTTGAGAAAACACCATTTTAAACGCTTTTTAAAACGAAAATATTCAAATTGATAGCGGCGATATAGCGCTTTGACAGATGACGTTTAAGTTCATTTGCTATACGCTACGCCCTACGTCCAAAATTTCAGAACCAACTTGACCACGTTTTTATTTGAACGCTCGTTATTTATATGCGCATTTTAAATTTGCTCCTCCTTGGATTCCGGGTTAACGGCATCCGTTAATGTTATTTACCCATTTTAAAAGTCGACATTCGTTTACGTATTTTACAAAAAAGATTAATATAGATAAATTAATAGAATCCTTTATAATACACCTAGTCCTTTATAATACACTATTATTATCGGAATTAGAAGGATTATGATTACAGTCTTTAAAATTATATACTAGGATACCTCTTCATAAAAAGAATACTATCCAATAATTATCACAGATTCATTGCCACCGTTAATGAGAATAACCTAACTTTTATTGATCACTATAGGATGCGTGTTCATATCCATTATTTAATTGATGCAGTCTGCTCTATAATTAACTTGAAAATCTAACACTTTTGAAGTGTAATGCATTATGTGAAATTGATCAGAGTACTGGTATATCATTTCGCTTATTAAAAAAAAAAACAGAAAGTGTGGTTTTACATAATACAACCAAATTTTCAATATTTTTCCCTTGTTCTACTTAAGTGTTTCAAATTCCACTTCGTTGTGTTTTAAAAAGCAAAACACAGTGTTTTTATGGTTAATTTTTGTAGATTCATGTCATCGACGTTGACGTTTAACTGTAATTTCGTTGTCTTTGAAAAAATAATGTTACATCTCTGTCTGCGTATTTCATCTTAAACAAAAGTATTTTTTTGTTAACAAAATTGGTATTGCGGTCCGTTTGGAGGACACGCAAATAATGTTTTTAAAGGTATTTTCCTTTTTTTTTAATGTACAAAGTAAAGACAGCAAAAAGTCGTTTTCTACATTTTTACCATTTTTTAATTGAAAGCAATGAACTCCTCATGATTGATTGGATCATGTTTGATTTTTCCTATATCATCAAAGACAATGAATGACCCTGTACTTAGTTGCTAATCATCAATTAACTTGGACTAATTAATTCTTTTCAGTCCCTCCGAGCATTATAGACCGAGAGACGAGCTCCGACATGGTCGTCTTGGAATCGACGAACGTGAGCCTGACCTGCAAAGCTACGGGCTACCCCGAGCCTTACGTCATGTGGCGCAGAGAAGACGGGGAAGACATCCGATACAACGGGGAGAACGGTAATTGCATATTTATGAATTTTTATTAGCACTCATATTTTTCACGGATAAACTCCATCCTTTACCGGCGAAATTGGATACAGCTCTATTATTTCGAGCTTTATTTTTCGTTCTGACCGTAATGGGTCCCTTTTAACCTCGCAGGAAGGCGGTTTATTGAAATTGGTGGGACTACGTTTCGTTCAGACAAATATTACCGCGGTGTTTATTAAATAGCGAGCGTTAAAAAATGATTATGGCGCTAAAAATTTCCTGAAACATTAAAAAGGTGGGGCGTATAGGGTATAACTAAAGCGGCCATTACAGGGGGAAATAATATTAGGTGGTTCAGAAATACAGTCCCTTATAATTCCATTTTTTCTTATAAAAAGCATATTTGGCGTTGTTATTACTTTCTATTACAGGAGAACTGGATCGATAAATAAATAGCTGTTTCCTTTTTTTTATTATCGCCACCTTTTACAATAATTTACTGAACGTAGTAAACGTACTTAGGTACATGCATTTAACCAAGTTATTTAGTTAGTATGCATATATGTACAGAGCATTTTTGAAAGATAGATTTTAATTTTAACAGCTATCAATAAAAGCTTACAATTCAGAATTGTTTTAAATATTTGTCGTTCGTTTCCAATATGGATCCTGAACAAAGAACCTTGTTGTCTTATGAACGCAAACATAAAAAAATGAATCCATAATTACGAATGTCTGATTAATAATTACGGCATGAGAAATCTTACCATCAAATAATTAGAAACTCATGTCCGAGAGGACCCAAATTCCCTTCCGCGAAGAGTAGAAGGCGCAGCGCAGATAATATTTTCGACCATGTTTCGAAAATTTCCGGTTCTTTACGAAGTGCACCAGGAAAATTAGCGGAAATAAAAGAGAAACTCGAAAAAAGTCCTATCCGCGAGATTATTGTAAAATTGTCTAAAGGAACATAATACAAGACATCTCTCATCTCGTGTGTCAAAAACTTTTATTAGTTAACTTTTCTATTTAAACAAATAAGTGAGGAAAACAGTTTTTTCACTTTGCTGGGAAAACCATCAATTATAGCGAAAATTTCACAATAGTATTTTTCAGCCAATTAAAGGCCTGTATTTTGTAGCGTTACTATAGCAACTAAGAAAATTTCCGGAAATTTTTCTCTTCCTTGGGGTAAGGAGCATGAAATTACACTGGAAATTTTTTGACATTTATAAATAAAATGACATTTATATTTAACTTCAAATTTATTCTATCATAATTTAATAAGTACAAATCATTTATAAATAATTATTTACCAAGTATGTACTTTTAGTAGTTTTAATTAAAGCGTCCAAATGTTGCTGAAATTCCTCAGCCACGTCTTCTTTTCTTAATGGGGAATAAACAAGCACACATTCACTAAAATTTATAAAATGTCTATGTTTCAAAAAATAAATGTAGTACTTTGAAACAATCTTATTCTGCTGTGATCCACGAAGAGCTCCATATTTCTTACACACAAGAAGCAAATGATTTTTAATAATCCCAAACAAGTTTGGCGAATAAATTTCTGGCCCGCATTCTTGTAATAAATACATTAAAAATTTTAGGTTCCGATGATACATTTTAATTTCACTAACTTTTTTGCAAAACTTGCATAAAACGTATTTCTCAAACCGCTCCATTTTTCAATTGTACAACACAACGATTTTAAAGAAAATGGTCAAATAACGTCAAAAGTCACGATTACCTTGTTTGACATGGATTCCATGGCCTTCTTAATAATATATACATATGAATTTTATTGATATTACATAGTGCTTAAGGTTCTTTGTAAGAAAATATATTTCTACCAACTTTAGTAAAATGAGTATGTGGAAAACTGAGGGATTGATCTACTATCGACTTATTTTTTATTATTTTGCTTAACTAAAGTCGGTTAGTTGTATTTTATTTAACCTAATGTTATATGTATGTAAGTTACTTTGATTATATATACTGCTTCAAGTTTTTTTGCAATAAAATATATTTTTACCAACTTTAGTATACTAAATTTTTAGAAAACTGAAAGATTGAACTACTATCAACTTATTTTTTATTATTTTGTGTAACTAAAGTGATTATTTTTTTTTCATATTAAATGAATAATCTTCTAGAATACTTGCCAGTTCTTCAACAGGTAGCTTTTCCTGTATATTATAAGATTTTTCATCGCAAAATTCTAGAAACTGCTTCCAAATGCTTATCTTTGATTTTTTGGTATTATCTGGCATCAGATGTTGAATTTCTTTTTTTATTATGTCCTGGTTTTCTTCTCCAAAACGAGACATTTTTCGTAAAAAAACACTAAACTTTTCACTTTGACACCGTGCATATAAAATGACATTTGTTATCCTTTTTGAATTAACATACAAAGCCTACTGTCTCCTCAAAACAATCAAAAAATTTTAATATCTTTATATTTTTGTCGATATTTTTTAACACTTCATTGTGAAATTTTCTTACCGAATACCACTCTAGCTTCAATTAAAAACTGGAAATTTTTTCTTGCACACAAATATTTTTTAGAAAATTCGTGTGCTCAAAAAAATTTCCAGTAATAATTGAAGCTCTAGTGGTATTATAAGTGAAAACTCACAGAAAGCTTGTAGGGAATAAAATTATGTACAAAATGAGACTTGTTAAATTGAAATCGGTTAATAAACAAAAAAGTTATTGCAAAAAAAAAACAAGAAAAGTGCCCATTTTTTAATTTGTTTATAACTATCGCATTTATTGTTAAAATTTTATAAGACCTATGACAAGTTGGGGGATTTGTCATTGTCATACTTTAAAAGTGTGACAAAAGTGGGCGCTGTAAGTGCAATAGTTTTCGCACAATTCAATTTGTTTATAAGGGATGCTCCAAAAGTTATGAACTTTAAGCCTCCGTACCTGTACAGTCGTTAATTTTCAACCAAACAAGATTCTGAAAGCGTCATTGTAATCCTAAAGACGTAATTAAGCGACCTATTAAAAAATATCACCGTTTTTTTGACAATAACATTCTCAAATTGTGCATTAAAAAACCGTGCGTTTTTCGCTTATAAACAATTTGAATAACATTGTTGCTATTTATGCTATCTCACCGAAAATAGATGCAATGGATAGCTGGCAAAAAAATACAGTTTTAAAATAAAAAAAGTACTCTTTCTAAAATTATTAAGACTTGAATTTTTCGCAAAATTGTTAGGTGTATGTTTTCAAGTGGAGCTTATTTACAATTAATGATTAGGATTACCTTACGGGTGTAGTACGTAAACATGCAGTCAAACTGTCAAGAGGCAACAATGGGCAGATGAGATGTGATCAGGGTTCCTGGCAATCACTCGTGATATGTAACAAACAAGTACTGCTGTATGTTCTTAATACGTAACTAATTATGGTTTACACTCACCGGGGGCGCCCCGCCCCGTCCCTCGCGGTCCTATCCTGGTGGTCACTCGAATAAGCATCCCCGATGTAGGTTGTGCATGCATCTGGAACACCTGTAATCAAAACTACACACACATACGCTCACTTCTTTCATCCTCGTATCTCTCGGCTCAGCCCCTGGATACGGCGCCCCTTGGCTAATGCCCTCGGCTTCACCATTCATTCTCGTATCACTCGGCTCAGCCCCCGGATACGGTGCCCCTCGGCTAATGCCCCTCGGCCTTACCATTCATTCATTAGTGACAATAATAATAATGACACCTTTCACTATTAGTGAGAATAACAACACATGATTTATAGAGACAGATCTGCCCTAATGACGTACTTTTATTACTAGGGTTTTAATAAGTAATCGCTGAGAACGTATTCACTACACTGCTGAAATAAGACTCTCGTCGCCAACGCAGGAACCCAGAATCACACCGTCAGCTGAATCTACATAAAATAATAACGCTATGAAATACAACCAATCATTTATTGAGAACTAAGCCTAGTTGTTCACTTATTTGTTTATTTAGTCTTTTCTTTCAAAACAGTTCCTAACAAAATAAAGTTTACGAGGTAAACTACGATTTCCCGTGAATTGCATTGAAAAATGTGGAAAATTAACGACTCACGAGCCCTTTAAAGAGAAAGTACTCGCTAAGTAAACTGTCCGGCGGCCGGCGGCGTGGTGGTGGGGGAAGCTCGTCCAAGCGAGTCGCGCGCGCGAGTAAAGTTATTTCTAAAGTTCAAATTGATGCGTGCTGTAAATTTTGGAATATCTCGGCTACTATTCATCGTAGAAACTTATTTTTTTTAAATGGGGTAGCTCAACGAAAAAATAACAATGGGCATATTTACGAATTCGTAGAATAGCCCTGAACCCCAGAAAAAATGCATCTTTTATACTTAATTTCTTTTAATTTACAAAAATGTTGCAAAAATTATTGTTAAACGAAATATTAATTAAAATTTCAATTTCGCAATTATTTTACTATTATTAAATAAATAAATGAAGCTATCGTTCATTTAAAAAGTTATTCTTTTTACAAATTAAGGCAAAGTAAACTTGTTTTTTCAATATTTTGTTAGCTATTTAATTACGATTTAAATGTAAAATTAGGTATAGTAAAAATTCACAAATTATTTTCAACGACATGGCACTCAGCGTGGTGGTGCCCGAATGTCCGAAAAGTCAAAGCAATCTAGTGTTAGACCACACTGTACGATATAAAATTGTATTTCGAAAAAGAAGAATACCCACACTTCGCTTTATTAGCAGAATTATCTAATAACCAATATTTTTATGCATTCCTAGAAAGATATATTTAAAGGTGGTCGTATGTCGCTTTGCACGAGTCTTTCTAAAAATTCAACATGTTTGAATCCGGGCTGAATAGTATGATATAATAATCCCTTAAAAGTTACAAAGTTTCACCGTATCATGGACGTGATTCGAAGTTTTACTAATAAAATATTCCATCCATATTAGCGTTAAAAGTTTGCGTTAAACTTTTTATTCTAAACTTCGTATACCCGTGCATGCATTATATGCGAAACACTAATATTACGTAAACGTAATTGCAAATTGTGGGCTAAGTAAATGGAAGTGTAGATAAATTTTATCAGTCACCGGACGTGGGGTAAAAGTATCAGCCCCCGGAAAATGTCCGATTTTTCAGGATTTTCATACATTGCAGTTCCTGCGCATATGGAACCTATTAATAACAGGAGATTAAATTTGAACTCTATATCTGTAAATGACTAAAATAGATGTTATGATGGCTTTCCAAGCTGTGATTTATAAAAGCCAATCGACTTCAGTTCATTAATAATAATTCTACAAATTCAGTCAAACAATTTTAATTAAAATAAGTATGTCTGTGAAATTTCAAACACTTCAAAAGTCAAAAAAATCATTGAAAGAAAAACTAGATAAAATTAATTAATTAATATTAAACACTACTAGTACGTCAATAAGTGTTCATTAAGTAAAAGGATACTTTAAAAATGTTTCAAAATTCTAGCAGTGTTCTGATTATTTAAAAATGTATTATTTTTTCACTTAGCAACATAGTTAATGGACAACACCAAACAAAATATTTTTGAAAAAAAATGCGGAGTAAATAAAATGTTCCCAATTCATTTAGATGAATACTAAAAATGTATGTAGTAATTGTAAAAGTACATGTAGTTAATTCTTTCCATTTATTATATATTTAATTATACTGGAGTTTTACTAGCATTGGTAACTTTAAAAATAGGATGTAAAATTACAAAGATAAAGTATAAAGTAACCAATGACAATATAATCATTGTAAATTTACCTATATTTTTTCTATGCACTAAATCATGAAAAGGTGGCATTCAATAAAGTGCCATTTTGTTTTACAGATAAAGGTAAATCGATTTTCATAGGTTTTTCAAATCGACGCCTCAGTAAAGAGGCCACTGATATCATTTATATTAAGTCGCCTTCTCGAAGAGACCAAAATCGAGTCGCAGGACACTACGCACTGGGACCGATACTTCTCTATAAATCTTCCAAGTTTCCAGATCTTAATGTCACAAACAGAAGATTTATTCGGATGTTCCGAGAGAAATGCGTCCCGATAATAAAATGAAATAAAGTTTTTCTGTAAAATTTTGAACAGGGGAAGGGTTTAAAATTACCTATGGGTTCTTTGTCTCGTTTCGCCTTCCATTTATTTTTCCGTAATACGGGGTATCCCAGAAATAAGTCAAAATTTTAATCATATTTAACTCACCGAAAGAGACAACTTTTGTATAATAATTTATTTCGTAATCTCGCAGCCAGGCCAGTCCAGTGCAGGCTGACGGATGAAGCAAGTGCATCTGTTGATATCGGACAGTTATTTTCAAGCGCCATTGTAGGTACCTACATTCTTTAAAACAATTTTTCTTCTGAATATGTACACAAAAGGAAAAGCTTACGGTCAGCATTTTCCTAGATGGTAAATTGGTCGAAATGGTTAAGACGACAGTACGACATTTTTAGACACCCTGTACACATTAAATATTGAAAAATTGAACTGAAACTGAATGCTTTATTTAGCAGGAATCCCTTTTTTCATAAAATGATAAATAAAATAGGTTTCCCTCTTATCCACTCCATCCGTAGACGCACTGTATATTTCATTATTGGCTTTTATACTTTTATTTTATTTTAAATGTGTTAAGCTAATTCAAATCAGATACAAAGAGTCTAAAGATTCGTCTAGTAGTTAGATATCCTTTGCGTATCTAGATTCTCAAACCTGTTTCCATCCATTTTTCTATTAAATTATTGTATGCAACATAAGAGTGGATCAGTATTTACTAATATATACTGTTTAATTCCCCGGCAAATATCAGTTATCTGAAAAACAAATAAAATACCTATGCAAATAGCTTGGGTTTTTATTTACAACCAAATGAGAATTAAATACATATCCATAGCTGTTTTGACCATCATATTTTGTATGGGAACAAATAGATAAGCATTTGTATGAAATGCATCGTTCTCTAATTTGACACTAAGTGACATGTAACAGACATTAATGTATTACTAAAGTAATATGCAACTTCTTCAATTATTCATGTTCAGTGACGTCGAATATGCTACGGAGTATTATGTACGGTATCGATCCTACATATACCTACTGCAGCACATCAAGATTTGATGTGTTGTTGCAAATCTCAGTTAGTTCTTAAAGGAATTGTATGTCCGAACTTCGTACTCCCTGCAATTTTTATAACAATGTACCAAGGCAACGTTCTAAATCTTGAGTTATTCATAGGTTCCTTAATAAATATAAATTTGCAACAATAAAGGTATTTACGAGAATATGTAGAAGACGTATCTTTTTAGGGTAAAGTATACATTCTAACAAAATTAACATTTTGGTTTGTGTTCCCCATTAATGTTCCGTTAGTTAAATATTTATGTATTAATGAAATTAAGAAATGTATTGCCTACCAAATTTAAAATTTAATTGTTGAAATACCACAGACTCTATATTTTTTAGTATGAAACAAATTTATATTCATATTGCGGTACATTTTTAATGAAATAAGGCCCTGAGCAGTATCATTGGACAATTATTATGCACCTCGTGTAATTTTTCACCGTCAAACTTATACAGCCGGCTAAAAATACCTCATAGACATTAATAAACACCTGGAAGCACCTTAGTCAACCGAATGACGACAATAGAGTTGTGGGTGCGAGTTGCAACAGATACATACCTCCAATATTTTATAAAACAATATTTCATCCATTTCAGCGCAAATACAGAGCGGAAGCAGCGTGCCACTGACATTAAACTTCATATCCAGTGAAGGGGTTAGTTACGGGATATTAAATATGGAAAAATAAACTGCACGTTTTGGTTTTGTTTGTTTGGGCCGTGTAACCATTTTAATATTAAAGGAATTAAAATCGCAGTGTGAATTGTTTTTACATTTTTTATACAGTCCTACAACTGTATCCTGAAGAGAGAAAATTTTTTGATTTGTGATTTCGCAAAAAAAAAGTCAAAATCCCTGCTTGCCTCCAAACACTCAAAAATGTTACTACTTTCTTGGTTTTGTATAGGGGATGTCAAATTTTTAGAAAAAGTTATAAGGGAGTCCAATCAATGTAGGTACTTCAATCTTTTGAAATATCGGAAAGTGTCGCTAAATCTGTCGTAATTATATCAGAAACTGCTTAACTAATCATAATTATTAAAAATACATCGACCTCCTAAAAGTCTCAATGGATTTTAATTAATTTATCGTTCGTTAAGCACTTTCTGGCGTAATGAAGAACTGTTAGTTTATCCAAGCCTTCAATTAATTGAAGTATGTATTTTTTTTTCCAGAATAATAGACACATTTACGACCTTTTTGGATTTCTTAACAATTTCTCTCAAACATTTACAAATAATAAAGGTGTCTCCTCTTTAAGACACACACGTGGGACACATTGTATATTTCTACATAAAAAGTAAAAAAAAAAAAACTTTTCAGCTTCAATCTACTTTTTTGCATGAACTAACGATACGTTAAGTATGTAAAGTAAAAACCATTTAACAATTTGGAATTATTTTATTATAATTATTATTTTCTTGAATCGCCCAATTTATGTTCCGCCTCTGGAGAATCAGCGTCCTGACCTATTTCCTAGGGCTTAAATCTAAAATTTTAGATATGCAAAATTCTTCAATTCGAATGGAAGCGACCTTTAATCCGATTATTCACACCAACTGCCTTTCAAATTTAGTTAGACGTTTTTAATTTTTTGCGCCCTCGCGACTCTAATAAATTCAATCCATTTATCGGGGATTTTGGTGACCCATCGGCAAATGGTTTTTAAAATCGATCTTACCAGCCGCGAGGCTACCGTATTCTAATTAAAAATACGCGGTGTTTTAAGGGGCTTCGCAAAATGTAACACAACATTTAGGAAACTGGTACGATAAATATGTTTTGCACTTTGCAAATTAAAACGCTGTTTCAATCTCTAATTTTAGGAACGGGAGAGAGAAATAATAGTGTACTTGTACCATGTTCTTTGCGGCATAGTATTGAGCTTAGCTATTTCACCTCTGTTGCCAACCCAATAAAATTAAAAATATCTTCTTGTTTTAAACAAAACATTATTAAATGAAAAGTTTAGTTAGTTTAACAGTTTTATCAAACTCGTGTTGGTGTCAAAGAGGCTGTTGTTTGTGTCACTTTTCGACCGCTACGTTACTGATGTGGTTAATAATTTAATATGCTTAATATGCGCTGTTATTTAAAAATTCGTAATACATTTGGAAGTTTATACGTAATAGTTTTCAAAGGAATCGCAAAGTTGAGCATTTATCCCATGTCTTGCCACGGATCTTTAGAGTATAAGAATGCTAAAACCGCTCTTCATCAACTGTCACAAAGCACAATAACTCCCACGCAGACCTCCCCTAGAGCAAACCAACATTTGTCCAACAAACCGTAAACAAGATGTAGACATAAGAAGCCCAATTAAACAGCCCCTCGCCCTGAAACCCACCCCACGTCCTCCACCCTGTCCCGCCTGAATAATTCATCCGCGTTTTCCATATCCCCGGCAATAAATCAGCCCCATTGTTGGATTTTTCCAATATCTGCATTCTCATTGTACACAATATCATCCTTTATGTTTCAGTTCTCCTAACGTTCTCCTTATTGTATATACGAATGGTTCTCTGTTGCAGTGAACGTCGTTGACGGGGAGGTCCTTTTCATTACGAAAGTCAGCAGGCTCCACATGGCCGTGTACCTCTGCATCGCCTCGAACGGCGTCCCGCCATCTATCAGCAAGCGAGTCCAGCTGAAAGTTCAGTGTAAGTTAGCTAATAAAATTTAACGTATTGCATACCTACAATCAATTTTAAAATATTTGCCAGTTGGATGACCGTTCCATAGTCATCATCCCTAGGCGTGTATGTTATTTTTTTGGGATGGGTTTCAATAGCAAAAATGTTATGCAATAAAACAATGAAATCTTGAAAAAAAAAACAAAATTTCTACTGTAAAAGTGTGAGAACATTGTATTGCCGACAGACCGCCTTTTTTCGAATGTTCAACTCTCAATCATTTTTAGATAGGATAGGACTATAATAATCTCTTCAGACGAAAAACTCTAACCGCTGCTTTGAATACAGTACACATCAATATACAGGGTGTTCCACTTAAGAGGGTGTAACTCTGCAACTGTAAAATTTATTAAAAAAATGGTTTTAATTAAAGTTGCCTGGTATCATGTGGGCTATGCGAAGAAAATATGTTTAGCTTTGCAGGATGTTCCATTTCGTGTGGGCGCTACATAACTTTATTATTTTAAATGAAGCACCCTGTATATTATTGCATTTTTTTAATTCCTTGGTTAATATTAGGTAGAGTTTATTAAATGTGCATGGTATTTAAAACTTACCATTTTCAAGATAATCAGTTTTTTTGAAAAACAATCACGATTTCAGCTCGCTAAATAAGGCTAGAATGCTTCCACAGTTCGTTTTGGTATAAATTACTCTATCTTGTCATCTATGAGCAAAACGTGTACGTTATTCAGACTCGGAAATACTGAGACCTACATTTAATAACCTTACGCATTGAAAAACTTTTTTTTTCAAACGGAATGACCCATATTAATTATCATGGGTGAATGCAAAATTGAATGCCTGTTCAGTTGATATAAGGTTGTCCATACTTATCTTTGACAGTTTTCCAGAAAAATCAGGTTCTTTTCTAAAGTCCGAAAAAGTAGCTATGTAACAGCGTCAAGAAAGCCTTGCAAAACCACTTTTCTCTCACATTTTATCAAGTTTGGGATTGACAGTGTCAATATTTACTGGCATGTTTAAAAACTGGTTTGACAAACAAAAGTAAACAACTAAAACAAAACGTAAAACGAAACAAACTGAAACTCCAAACACAACAAGTAGAGGAATACTTAGGCCGCTGATTTAGATCAATTGCTCGAGGTGTCCTCCATTTTGGTTAACACACAAACTAATTCGGTCTTTAAAAGACTGTTTAACAGTGGTCTGCATGTCTAGCGTATCTTCTGCAGTAGTTGGTGGTGTAACGTAAACTTTGCTTTTTATAAATCCCCAAAAAGAAGTCAACTTGTCATATCTGGACACCTTGAAGGTCAACTCAGTGGTCCACCGCGCCCAATCCATCTGTTGGGAAAAATTTCTTGTAAAAACTAAGGAACCGCAGTGGTATTGTGAGGTGGAGCACCAAAATATTTCATCCACAATCTTCGAAGTGTGGCTAAAGGAAAGGAAAAATCTTCTAGAGTGTTTGTTAAAAAGTAGTTAGATGCTTGTCAAAAAAGAATGGTTCAGTGACATGGATTCCCAAAAGTATCTATTGCTTTGTTACTTTTCGAGATATATCGAAAAAACCGTTAAAAATCTTCTTTTTTATCTTCTTCTATAACTCGTTTACATCTACGTTCCCATACTTGCTATTTACTGCAAGCATAGCCCGCGGCAAGCCAAAAAAGTACACTTTTGAAAAATTTAAAAATGTTAGTTATTTTTCGAGATCTATCGATTTTTTGAAAAAAAAAGGCGCTCCCGAAAATTGGCTAGATCTTCTCAGCGGATAGCCCTACAGTGACGATTTTTGATTTATTTTTTTCGTAAAAAGTTATATTATCATGCTATTAAAAAATGTTGACGATTTTATTAATTTTAAGGATCAAAAAATGACTTGCACTTGCACTTTTTTTGGGTATGTTTTTTTCAAATAACTATTTCAATTTTTATTTTATGAAAATGACTTTTAAAGAAACAAACTCCTGACATTTTTCACGAATTTAAGAAACAAACATGTTTTTCTACGACTTTCTGGGGCCGAGATAATATTTTTATTTAAAAAAAAATTGGAGGACGCAATTAACATTTTACAGCGATGCGCTTGATGGGAGGTAAAATATTGAATACTTATATTTTCACAAAAAAATAGTAGATATGTTTACTTAATTTTTAGTTTTAGTAATTGAGTAATAAACTGAAGCGTGCAAGTTTCTCATTTAAAATTTTTCAATCGGTGCTATATTTTTTTAGTTATTTTAGAAAAACCGTTTTTTGCAACTTTGCGATTTTTTTAACCATGTTTGCCATTTTGGATCGTGTTTAAAGAACAATGAACTCAATTTAAAATTTAATTTTCTATACGGTCATATTTTTTTTGTCCAGGAAATAATTTCTGTAAGCATTTCTCTATAATGCTTGGACTAAATATACATATACTACTGTCACGAACCTCCATTGAATTTCTTGTTAAGCTATTTTAATTTATTTCCAAACGGGTAGCGAAAACATGTTCGAATAACAATTATTCGAAGATTGCTCAATCCGCAACCATGTTTGCCCAGTTAATTTACTAATGAGAAAAATATTCATTGTAATTTTGAGAAAGGAATTCGCTCCATAAATCAGAGGAAAGCGGTCCGAAAGCGTTACCATTTGCAAGCTGCAAAGTTATAGCGACGCTTAATTCTGTTCATTAAGCCGAGTGTATTATTTTTGTCGATAAAGGTAAAACTTTACGTGTGGCGACAAATTTTTAAATAGGTGACAGTAATTCAACGATGTTTTTATTATCAAATGGTTATATACCTAATAATAATATGCCGTCATGCATGCGAATCATACGGTTGCTTAATTTTCGAATTTTCCAACACAGTGCTGGCTCATATTAAAAAGAGATGAAATGTATAAGGAATAAAACTTTAATTGGGGGTTAGTTTTTTAGAGCTACGCGTTCCCTGAAATACTTTGAAATTATTATTATTTTTTAATGAAATAAATAATCGTGTGATTTTTAATTATGGATTTGCATGATTTATTAAATATTATTTAATATTAGTATTTCGATAAACATACCAATAAGTAAAATTATGTTTTAAAATAAGTATTTATAAAATTTAATTAAAAAACGAATGTGTGAATTGTGTTTAGTTTGTTAATCTATGTGTCAATGGCTTTTCCCATTGATCTACTTTAGGTGAACTGCCTACATAATATCAATTCACCTGATATACAGGTATATGGCAACAGATTGTTAGGCGGGCAAAAAACAAACGGCCAACGTCAAATTCAGTGAAACGAGAATATGTTACTGTTTTGTTTTATTACATTTTTGCAACTTTCTCAAGAATGTTTTTGCTCCAATCGAAATGGAATTTGTATTACTGCGTATTTTAAATTTTTTTATAATGTTCATTCATTACCTGACATAAGATGTGTTTCCTTTGAAGAAAAATCATGTTTTATTCTTTTATTGATCATAATGAAGGGGGATTAAAAAATAATATTAAAAATACTCAAAAAATTAATAGTGGCAACTGACACTTTTATTATGTGCATATACAATATTTTTTTAGATAATTGGAATCTTTTTCTTAAACACATGGTCCTTGAAAGGAGTTAAATTTTAGTTTACAATAAAACATACCCTCTAATAGGAGTCGAATTGTTCAAAGTTTGATAATAAGAAAACATTCCGTTGTTGTAAGATATTAAAAAAAAAACGAGAAAAAAAATTTCAACACCCTGTATTTTGGAAAGGACACATTTTTGGGTACCTATATGATAATACATTTTTTTTCTTAAAATAATGTAAAGGATCTCCCTTTTAAATATTTCAGTAACGTTGAAATTCTGAAATTCCTATTGATTTTACACATTCAGTTATTTAATTAAGTTCCATAGGCCTAATTTGTTAATTTGTGTTTACATCTTCCGAGAAATTTGCGTAAATTAACATTTAAAAAAAAATAACAGCTGTACTATACTGCCCTGTTAAGCCATAAAATCGTAACTGCAATTATCCCCAATTTCAAGTACAGGGTTACTAATACTCCACGACATCAGTTTTGTCATTTTGTTAGGAAAAAAAGGACGAATTTGTTATTATTATAGGCTATATACCTCAAAATGTAAATGTCGTATCTACAATTTCCATGCCTTTGTCAGAAATAAAGTTGTATCTGAAAATGTTAGAATAAAAAGTCGTATCTGTAATATTTATCACACAGATACGACCAATTCGTCTAACAACTACAGTCACTATACAGTCACTAAATAACATATCTACAGTCACTAGATAACATATGCTATCTAGTGACTGTAATTTAGTGACTGTACTAACAACTGTACAACTGCACCATCTACAAAATAATATCTACCACCTGTCAGATTCAGTTTGTAACTAACTAGTAGATAAACAGTGATTTGCTGTGGGAATTTTTCAGTTTTTAATTAGTCTCGTTCATTCTAGACTGTTAAAGGGTGAGGTAGTAATATTTATTATAACGTATCCCCGGAGTTGTTTATTTAGTAAGTAATTACATTTTTTGTTCCTGTTAATCTAATTATGCATATTATCAAACATAACCTAAAACTTAAAAAACATGGTAATTGGTCAGTACCTATCTTTTTTTTCTCGTTACAGCTAAGAATTTCAAACAATTTCCAATATGAGTAAACGGGGTAAAGTTATGGTTGCTCTTGCTCTGAAGAAGCAACTTGCTGAGAAAATCGATTTTTTTAAAAAGTTGAATTATTCAAAAAGGCAGCGAGAGAATGATAGTAGTAGCAGCGAATATGAGCCAGATATGGAAAAAAATGGATAGGGCTAGTGATAGTAGTAGTAATTGTAACAGTTTTAAAGATATTACAAATGTAAAAACAAAAATAAAGGTCATAAACAACGCATCGTTATACAAAGAAGAGGAAGTTTTTGTAGAAAGTGTAGAATGGAGAAAAAAATCCAAAAGTTAATATTTTGAGCAATATTATATTGCGTGTTTCTAATGAATGTTTTT